TAGCACAATATACCAAGCTTTTTGGTACTATTTTAAAAAACAGAGCACATTGAAAAATTTAAGTGCATGTTGTAGTCCTATTAGTGAACCAAATATGGAATTATAGTGCATTATTGAAATGTTATGGTGAGAGAAATTTCATGAAATTTAAGTGCATATGAGAATATGATAACTCGATTATGCCTGTAGTTTGAAGGTTGTGTACCAGTCTTTTGCATATCCATAAGTGCATTACATTTGAATATAATGTGCATTGTTTAGTGAAAGATAAGTTAAGTGATTGAATGACATAGCTACACTGATAAAAGTGCATATTATGTTATGTACTTGTGCATTGAGTTATTTTACTCCACATAAGACTATACATTTTGTCAGAATTATGCATCCTAAGGTACTATAATTGCACTATGGAGAGAAAAAAAATGCAAAAGTTATTGAAACACAGTGCATCACTTGTGAGTTAATGTGCAAAATAGTAGGTCATTAAACACGAGTTTCCATTTAAAAAGCAATAATATCTTGATATTAGTGTAATTATTTAGTACATATGAGAATATGTTAACTTGTTTAAAATTGGAGGTGAGAATATGAGAATGACATTCCTAAACTTATTAAAGTGTATATTAGGTTATGTGCACATGAATTAAATTACTTTACTCCACATAGGAGTATATATTTTGTCAAAATTATGCACCATGAGGTACCATATATAAGTGCATCAGGGAGAAAAACATTGCACAAGTTATTGAATCATAGTGCATCATTTATGAGTTAAGGTGTCTAATAGTAGGTCAATTGAAATGATTATCCCTCTGAAAATTAATAATACCCTGCTATCAATGTGAATTGTTTAGAGCATATGAGAGAATTTTAACCTGATTAATCATGGAGATGTGAAGGTTGTGTACCAATTTTTAATATATAAATGCATTACATTTTAATACAATGTGCATCATTTAGTGAAAGGTAAATTAACTGATTGAATTACATCCCTACATATTTGCAGGAAATGGGTATGGTTAGAAGAAGTGGCAGATTGTTGTATGTAAAGCAAGCATAAAGACGGAGACGTAGATTCGCATCGCTTGAGTGTGAGGAGAGAGGAGAGAAACGCAGCCGCAACCATGAGTTTGGCAGCGAATGAAGATTTCCAGCACATTCTACGTATCCTGAATGCCAACGTTGATGGAAAGCAGAAGTTTATGTTTGCCCTCACTTCCGTCAAAGGTATGGGCCACCGATTCGCCAACATCTGCTGCAAAAAAGTTGATATTGACATGAAAAAAGGGTTGGTGAACTTTCTGCAGCAAAAATTGAGAATTTGATGACAGTGGTTGCAAACCCAAGGCAGTTCCAGAACCCTGACTGGTTCCTCAACAAGCAGAATGATTACAAGGGTGGGAACTACTCGCAGGTTGTCTCCAATGCGTTGGATATGAAACTCAGGGATGATCTTGAGTGTTTGAAGAAAAATCAGAATCACCGTGGTCTGCGACATGTACTACGTACTAGGGTATGCGTGTATGTGGACAACACACTAAGACTACTGGGCGCAGGGGAAAGACTCTTGGTGTCTCGAAGAAGCGTTAAACATAGTTTTCATTTATCCCATTATGTTTTTTTAGATGCTGTTTTTTAGGTTTTGGTTTCATATTCAATGAATGAATGAGGTTCTTCACATAGTAACTATGAGCTTTTAAAAGGTTCTCATCATTGTCAACTGTCAAGATTTGTGCAAAAAAAAGGAAAGATGAAGACGTAAATGAGATAAGGGGCTAAAGATTGGAGATGTGAAGTGAGAAAAGGAGATGCAAAACAACCGGGTGCATTACGAATGAGATAGTGTGCAGCAATCGTAACGACATGCGTCTATGAGAAGAACGAGAGAACTTGGAGCAAGCTAAGGAATTTGCCATAGCAAAACAAATGAAAGCTAAACCCATTTAAATTTCTTATTTTAGTAGTACGCACTTTGTAATAGGTTGGTAGCACTTGATAAATTTGAGATGCTTTTGTATATAATCAACTTGTTCATAGGTATACTATGTTGTTTTGATATTTCAAATTTCAGAGAAACTTAAGGCAATATGTGGATGAAGTTTGAATATGACATAAAATACTGAATTGTAATACATCCAGAAGGTTGATAAGTGTTGAGTTGAAAAGTAGTGCACATACATTGCTAACATATGCACCTTTACTTTAACCATTATGCATACAGTATGGTGTTTTGATATTCACAAGTTCAAAGATATCTGAAGTCAATGTGTGGCAAAATATGATGTCACATATTGGATCATAATCTCTCTAAAAGGTTGAAATTAAAGGTAGTGTACAAATATTGTCAAAATATGCACTTATAATAATACAAACGTGCAACACATATAATTATGGGAACACTTCAGGTTTTGTTGCACTCCACTTATGCCACTTCAGATTTTGTTGGCTGGAACACATGTATCATTCATGCCACCATGATATATGATTTTTTTTATGCTCCTTTCCCGGTGAATTCACTCTAGAGACTTGTAGTGCATAGATAATAATAAAAAGGTGCAACACATATAATTCTGTTAGTGCAAATCTTTAAAATGTTGCAGAATGTAATAATAAAATGATAATGGATTCAATAATGCGTTAGTGCATTATATAGTTGATACAGTGTTACAAAATTAGCTTGAAAGTGCACTACTAGCTGAATGAAATAGCAACACAACAGCACTCAAATAAGAAAATCTCAATCAACATAAGTATGAAATACATTTATATACAAACTGTGTGATTTCGAATAGAAGAATACAAGCAAGTAAACTAAAATGCATATTGTTCACAATTGGATTCAAGTCCTCCCTAATAGAGATCAATTCAATGGCAAAAAATTAATGTGAATACAAATAGAAATAGTACAGTTAATTATATGTGGAAAAAATCAAATTGACAAATAAATAATTTAAAATAAATTTATAGTTGTCCTTGTCGAGAAGACAATATTATTCAGAATTTAAGATGAATTAGTTCAAAATTGACATAAGGAGATCCATGACATGGTGTAATAGATTCAGATGCATGAGAGAGGTCGTTGATTAAAATTAAATGAGCGAGGAAGATGAGATACAGAGATGAGCGAGGAAGATGAGATAAAGAGGAGAGGTCGTCGATGATGCGAGGAAGATGAGAAGGGATGATTAGATACGGAGGAGAGGTCGCCGATGACCAGCGAGGAAGATGAGCGAAGAAGATGAGATATAGAGTTGTAGCTGATTAAAATTAGAGAAGAGAAATAATGATGAAGATGAGAAACAAACCAGATGTTGCCAATGAAAACGAGCAAGGAAGATGAGATGGAGGACAGTTATCAGGGAAAAATTTTCAAAATGACCATATTAGCCTCACACGAATTATTATATTAATTTAAATGAGAGTGAAATCCAAGGGTCCTCATTTATTCTTATTTCTCTCATTAGATGTTATTCTCATTTGAACCAAACTCTCTCTCTCTCTCTCTCTCTCTCTCTCTCTCTCTCTCTCTCTCTCTCTCTCTCTCTCTCTCTCTCTCTCTCTCTCTCTCTCTCTCTATATATATATATATATATATATATATATATATATATATATATATATATATATATATATATATATATATATATATATATATATATATATAATATACATATATTTGCTTTCCTCACCCCCCCAAACCCCTCCTAACCATCAAGCCCAACCCGGGTGGAACCCCAAAAAATGAGGGGGGGGGGGGGGGGGGGGGGGACAATTCGGCCCGGACCCGGGCCCGACCCAGCCGGGCCTAGTGCTGGACTCGGGCCGGGCGGCCCGGCCCGAAACCGGCCCGGCCCGGTTACTGTTTGGCCCGGCCCGGGGCCCGATGGGTCCACCGGTTCGGTTCGGCCCGGCCCGGCTGCTGGGCGGTTCGGGCCCAGGCCCAGGTTTTGGTGAACCGGCCCGGCCGGTTCAGGCCCGGTCGGTTCAGGCCCGGTCCGGGCCGGATTTTAATTTTTTTTTTTTTTTTTTTGAAATTTTTTTAAGTTTTAGGTTGGATTAGGTATTTTGGGCCATTTGAGGTGGTTTGGGATGGTTTGGGGTTGAGGGGGAGGGGTAGGGGATTAAATAGGAGAACAAAAAAAAAAATTAATTGGGCCGGTTCGGCCCGGCCCGGCCCGGCCCGGTTTGGCCCGGAACCGGGACCGGCCACCGGCGGTTCGGGCTCGGGCCTCCCTTTCCTGGCCCGAGGCCCGGCCGGGCCCAGGCCCGAACCGGCCCGAGTCCAGCTAGGCATGGCCTCGGTTCGGGCCGCCCGGCCCGGGACCGGCCCGACCCGCTACTGTGCGGGCCCGGCCCGGCCCGGTTATCCGGGTCCGGGTCCGGTTCGGGCCGGAGGCCCGGGGGTGGGGCGGTTCCGGGCTCGGTTCATGGTTTTGACGGCCCGGCCCGGCCGGTTCGGGCCCGGGTCCGGGCCAAATCTATTTTTTTTTTTAATTTTTTTCATTTGTTTTGGGCTGTTGGGCTTGGGCTATCTGTTTAGGCCGGTTTGGGGGGGTTTGGGGGGGTGGGGGGTGGGGGGGGTGGGGGAAGAAAGGAAAAAAAAAAAAATTAAACCGGGTGGCCCGACCGGCCCGGCCCGGAACCGGAACCGGTGGCCACCGGTTCGGGCTCGGGCCCAACAAAACAGACCCGAGGCCCGGCCGGGCCTAGGCCCGAACCGGGCCCGAACCGGCCCGGGTCCATCCATAAGTCCAGCACTAGCCGGGCCGGTTTGCCAAATATAAGACCTGAGCCCGGACCCCCCCCCCCACCGGGCCTAGGCCCGACCCGGACCCGAGAACTGGGCCGGTCCCGATCCCGCACAGTAGCGGGCTTAGGCCGGAGGGAGTAATATATAAATGAACAAAGCGGAAAAGTAAAAAATCACTAATATTGACTCAAGAAAGTGTTCATATCTTTAGGACTAACAAAAAAAGGAAAGTATATCATACACATTAGGAGAGAGTATAATAGTTAAAGATAATAATTGGCTGAAGTGATTGCTTATGCTGAAATTTATGAATTTATGACTTATGATTGAAGTGGCTGAATTGGCTAATTCTACAAAATTATAAAAAAACTATATTTAAAATATGTTTTAATAACAAAACAAAAGAAAATGAAAAATACTCCGTAGTTAAAATAGTGAGTCGTTTAGTCCTCTGCCGGATCACAAAATGGAATCTAGACGTGCATAAAATAATTATAGAATATGCACACTAAACAGAAAAAGAACTCTTTGAACTTTACTTATGCACATTTTAGATGTGACGACACACGTATGTATGTCATGGTTGAAAACTACTAAACTGAACAACAATGAGGTCAAAGTGCCTCGGGGAAACGCAATTCTGCAGGGCCCGGACCTAATATCCCCTTTTGCTCCGTTATCTTTCCCAACCCCCCCTGAGATGAATCAGCCTGTCCATTCCTCTCATCATCTCGCCACCCCAGTCCTTGTGTCATCTACAAAGAGGAAACCGATTGTAACGCGCCACAGAAATTGATAAACATAAATGATAAATCTAACTTCACGAGAAAAAAGTGATACAGAATGATCCGAACTGATGAATGCTCCCATACACAAAGACCAACAGAACAGAATATCGAACCACTGGTGACTGATCCAGTGTCAACTCCACCACTACCACTGTAGCTTTAAGACAGTATTTAAATGTTCTACCCCCTCCAGTCTCTAGTTCATGTATCTATGGAAAAGACACATGAAATGTGTTTTCCAAAAAAATGTGAAATGCTTTTTCCAGATTTGGGATGATGCAGTCCTAACGCAAAGAAATATAACCATCTCTATCAGTATATCACAATGACCAGCATACTCGTTTTCTTCTTCCCCAATGAATTTTGAATTTGGATAAATTATAGAGACATCACGGAGCCAAACATTATTAGCAACTTCATCAATCTGCTCTTTTGGCATTTCATCAACAGAGACACAGAGTGATTGTATTTATCAATACTCAATAAACAATGTTTGATAGCTTTGAAGATAATTGGAGCCACAAGTTTATTCTCATTAATTTGAAAACTAACACGAATAACTACAAATACTACCAAGGGTCTATTAATCAATATTGTTGATGTGTCTTGGCGGAATGTGAACAGGGCATTCATTCTTTTCAAGGTTGGCAGTCAGCAGTGAAGTTATCAACAGTAGATCAATACGACTTGCAGCGGTGAGTGATCAACACAAGATCAATAGGACTTACGGCTGGGTGTGGATGTACAACTCAAACATATATGTGTGTGTATACTACCAGTCTATCAGTCATTCTCTAATGCAGGGATTCAATATATAGTCATTCCGACATTGCTCTCAATTTTTCGTAATATGGATCATGAGTGCAAGGTTGTTAAACTCGAGATCCTAGCACGGATCAGACAGGGTCTAGGAGATCGTAACTCGGATCGTAAGATCCTGCCATGCTATATATATATAGGGAACTCTTCCGGTAAGGTATACCTTACCGAAGCTTCCGTGCGGCCTCCACGTTTTGAGGGCCTTTCCGGTGGAATTTTTCGATGAAAGTTTTTGAGCATGTTCTTCATCAAGTCTAGTACATCCATACCAAATTTCAGCAAAAAATTCAATCGGGAAGGCAGTCAAATGATTTTTGGAAGATAACTGCACCCTTTATATACATATAAAATGCAGTTATCTTCCAAAAATCGTATGGCTGCCTTCCCGATTGAATTTTTTGCTGAAATTTGGTATGGATGTACTAGACTTGATGACGAACATGCTCAAAAAAATTCATCGAAAAATTCCACAAGGAAGACCCTCAAAACATGGAGGCTGCACGGCGGCTCCGGTAAGGTATACCTTACCGGAAAGATTTCCTATATATATATATATATATATATATATATAATACACATCCATATATATAATTCAATTCTATTCTATGTGAACACCAAATTGATATTAATATTAAATTTTCCAAAAAATATATATTACTCCCTCCGTCCCATTTTGTAAGATACATTTTCCTTTTATGGTTGTCCCAAAAATATGAACACTTTCCAAATTAAAATTTTTACTTTCCCCTCTTGCCCTTCCCACCGTACCTATTAATCACGTTATTCTCTTTCTCATTTATTATTTGATAGGCTCGAAACTTTTAATTCTTGTGCCATTAGTGATTACTGGGTCCCAATATATTCCATTTATTATTTGGATCTCAATTTTTTGTAGAATACGGGGTACTCTATTGCACTTTAGCATCCGGAATTTCAAATAAAAAATCTACAAAAGACTCCATTGTATTGTACTTTTGTAAAATTTTAAGAAATCGCTAAAATCATGATTTGAACCAGTGAAAGTCTTTAAATAAAAGTAGTCCACATATATTTACATACGAAGCAATTTTTAAGAGGTAATATTCATGAATCAAATCTTTTGAGAAAAAATTGTGAGGGGAATGATACCTCCAACTTTACTGGCATTTTTTGAGCCTGTTAATACCCCGTAGAGAAAAATGATATGTAGAAGATACTTGTAATTGAGTAGATATAGTTATTCATATGTAAGTGGAGATACTTGGCTTTGACTATGCAATTTTGGATAAGGAACGATGCAGTGAAAAGGAAGGGACACCTCAAACAAAAGAAAACTTAATTTAATGTCACGTGTTAAAATTTTGAGTTGTGGTATAATAATACTCCCTATTAATGATAGGTTTACAAGTGTAGAATTATTAGCAGGGGGGTGACAATCAATGTACCGAAGAAGGGTAAAAAAGGAACAACACTAGCATTTATTACTTTTATTAAAACGTGTGCCAAAAGCAAGTGTATCATACTTTTTGGGACTGAGGGAGTACTAATTAATAATAAAGCAATAATATAAAACACCTCACATAACATTTGAAGGGGGCGATTTAATAAAAAAAAAAAAAGATAGCCCACTAGCCATGAGCCCATGACTTACTATTGCTATCAGAACTGAACCACTAAACCTAGTTGACTACTAAGGAAGTGGACGATTTTAAAAAGCAAAACTGGACTAAGCAGACGACACAGAACAGAGCGAGAACAGAGAAGAGACGAAAAAAACGAAGAGGAACAGTGATTTAAAGCAGACGAAGTAGGGAAGCTCAACGCTGTAGGTCGCTTTTGGGCTTCATCATAAGGCATCGATGTTTAATTTTTTTAAAACTCGCCGTTCTAGACATCAGTCCACCTTCGTTTCCCGTTTTTTATTCTGAGAAATCGCAGCTCGATTAGATCAAAGATTCGTACGAGTTACGTTTCTACTCGTCGATCCGGCGATCCCAGGCCTGTTTCCGATCCTAGCAGCGATCCAACTCGACCCTCCCTTTTCTGATCGTAAAATCGTGCGATTCAACGAGTTAGATCGCGATCTTAACAACCTTGCATGAGTGGGTGGAAAGGACTTTGCAATGGTTTCAGCGAGTGTTCTACTGGAGCGGCACGAAAACGGAAGGGGCAGCCTACATAGGACAGGAGTTGACTTAAAGATCGTAAATCGTAGGATCGTAAGATCCTACAAAATCTACATACAATGTATGTGTGTGTGTGTGAGTGAGAGAGAGAGAGAGAGAGAGTATATATATATCATTAGAGAGTAAATATAACTGAAAAAATAATAACCATAGTAATTACGAGGGCGACTTCATAAAAGCACAGTCTCATGTTGGCAAATTAGCTTGGTCTCCGGAAGTAGTTGAGGCTTGGGGAGTGAGGGAAGCTATCTTTTGGGCTCATGAGAATGGGTGGAGTAAAGCGGAGATTGAGACAGATGAGGCCCAGATTGGGGTTATCGATGATGACATAAAGAAAATAATGAGAAAGGATTTTAATATTCAAGTCTAGTGGTGCAGTAGAGAAGCTAATAGAGTAGCTCACACTTTTGCTCGTGTTGCTACTTCTTTGGGTGATACCGAACTTAATTTCTATTCGCCGATGTCTTACATTGTAAGCCATTTGCAAACGATTTAATTTTATAAATTTGGCATTTATCTCTAAAAAAACCATAGTAAGATGTTTAATGGAATATAATATAAACTATTGATATTATTTTTCTTAAAGGAAAATATTGATATTTTAATAAACAAAATAAAGTGAGCTAATTTATTTTACTAATTTATACTCCGTAATATTTATAATATATGTAAACAATTAAGTAATGAATAAGTAATAAAATCTTTATATGTATAGTAAACATAATAACAAAGCTAAGTTATTTTACTTATTTATAATATAAGTAAACAATTAGGTCATTGGTTACACCAAATATGTAATAAAAATTTTATACTAATAATTAAAAAAAATAACAAAGCTAACTTTATTATACTTAATAACAACAATAAATTGTATTAAAACAAATAAAAGATACTATATAGTAATCTGTCTATTTCTAATAAAATAATAAATGATGAGTAGTCAAACTTATTAAAAGCGTTCAAAAGCGACGAAGGACAGGCGAGTTGCGCATGGCTTTTGAGAAGCGGTCGGCCATGAGAAAGCGTAGCTTTTCTCCTCGCTTTTCTTCCGCTCGCTTTTCCATTAAGCGATGCTTCGCACAAGTCTAGCATCTTGCAAGAAAGAGCTAAGGGAAAGGGTTGTTGGTGCATTTGCACGATGGATGTATGAAGCTGGATTGCCCTTCAACTGCGTCAATTACAAGACATTACAAAGTTTCATTGATGTTGTGGCACAACATGGACCCGGGATGAAAGCTCCTACTTATCATGAAGTTTGAGTGCCATGTCTTTAAAAGGAAGTAAAGCACGTGAAGGAGCTTTTTAAACCACATGAGGATATTTGGAAGCAATACGGTTGTTCATGATGATGGATAAGTGGACTGATAGAAGGAATCGTGCTTATATCAATGTGTTAGTTAATTGTTCACTTGGGTCTTATTTTATTCAATCAGTTGAAGCAAGTTTGGACATTGTGAATGGAGAGAAGATGTTTGAGCCCTTTGAACTCTTTGTGAATAGAGTTGGAGGAGAAAATGTTGTTCAAATTATATTAGACAACGCTTCTGAAAATGTCAAAGCTGGTTAGTTTATTTTATACTGGAAATCATAATCTCTAATATATAATTTAGTTGAATTTAATTATTCTTTTCATTTTCTCATCGCTTAGGCTCTTTTGGGACCAATGATGGGATGTTGTTGTTGTTGTTTCTTATCGCTTAGGCAAGGATTTAATGGAGAAGTACCTGATGTGCTGCTCATTGCATCAAATTGATGTTCAAAGACATATTTGAGCTTAAGCACTTTCAGACAACCTACAAAAGAGCTCTGAAGTTGTCGGTCTACATCCATTCAAAAATAAAATTGTTGAACTTGTTTAGAAAATTCACCGGGAAGAGAGAGTTGGTGAAGTTTCCTAAGACAAGATTTGTCCAGCTTTCTTGACATTCAAGAGGTTAAAGGAGCACAAGAATAAGTTGATCAAACTATTCAATTGTGAGGAATTCCTAATGAGCAACTATTCCAAAGAAAAGGTTGCAAAGAAGTGTGGTAGAATTGTCAAGATGCCGTCCTTTTGGAATACACTTCATGAGGCGCTGAAAGTTGGAGGACCACTTATGTCAACCCTTCGAATGGTTGATGGAGATGTGAAGCCGGTTATGGGATATGTCTATCCTGCAATGGAGTTGACAAAAGCAGCAAAAGCCAAAGCCTTCAACAACAACCAATCCAAGTCCAAGAAAGTGTTTGACATTATAGACACGAGATGGACTTCCCAACTTCGTCAGCCATTGCATGCAGCCGCTTTCTTCTTGAATCCGGATTTCTTTCAATTTCCAGGTGTATCCCAAGTATATTCTACCGTAAATTCAGCTGAAGTGGTGAGTGGGTTTTATGAATGTTTGGAAAGATTGGTTCCAAATGAAGAACTTCCAGGAAAATTTGCTAGTGAGGTGCCCAATTGAGAATTAGGACGCAGACTATTTAGTAGTTCATTTGCGAAGGAACAACGAGGCGTTAAGCCCCCAGGTTAATATCTATTCATCAATTTATATTATTTAAAAAATTATTACAATTTATAGTGGGTTTAACATTTTAAAATTTATTTTATAGTTGATTGGTGGACATCTTTCGATGTCAGTGCTCCCCATTTAAAGGAATTTGCAATCAAGCTTATCAGTTTAACAACAAGTGCATCGGGATGTGAGTGCATCGGGATGTGAGAGGAACTAGAGTGTATTTGAGCATGTAAGAACATTTATTCTAATGCAAGAGTGTGTCGATTTCAATTTTTTCCCATGCACTTGACTTATTGCAGAATTTAAATTACTTAACAGTTGCCTTCGAAGAGGAGAAGCCATCTAGAGTACAATCGCCTTAATGATTTGGTATTCGTTAAGTACAATAGGGCTTTGAGACGTCGTTGGGAAATGCGTGATTCTATAGATCTTATTTGCTTGGAATACACAGACATGGCAACTGAATGGTTGACCGGTGAAGTTGATGATGCTAATGAAGAGTTGGTCTTTGATGATGGAGATGATTTGACCAGGGGAGATGTTGCGAAGTTTTGTGGTGTATGATACGGCATATTCTCTTGGACGGAATTCTAAAGGGAAAGATAAAGCAGAAAGTTCCAAGTCCAAGGGAAAAGAAAAGGCCTCCACCCGTAGACTTGTTGATGAAGATGAGGGCGAAGATGAGGAGGATGTTGGAGTCTATGATGATGATAGTAAGGACTTTGATACTTTAGTTATAGATGAAGAAGAACAAGGCTATTTTGAAGACGAGGATGATGAGACAATGGAATGATGAAGACTTTTAGAACCGTTTTTAATGAAATTATGACATTATGTGGTAAATGTTTTTATCTTTATGCCGCACTAGTATTACCCTTATGACTTTTATGATTAGTTATGCGATTTTGCATATTTGTGTGATGAATGTTTTGAAACTTTGTGCCGCACTAGTACTGTTCTTAATGATTTTTATGATTACTTATGGATTTTTGGCATAATTATACATTATATATATTATTTGTATTTATTTTTATAAGCATCGCTTTTTGTGAGATAGTTACGCATCGCTTAGCGCTTTCGCTTTTAAGCAAAGCCCAAAAAGGAGGAGGAGGAGGACAGTTTTTCTTCTGTTTCTGAATTTGTGCTTGTTGCACTCCTGGATTCTGAAATTTTCCTCAGAATTCATAAAACGAAGTTCTATATTACTGTTTGCTCTTTGAAGTTCCCATCAGTGCGAAGTGCCTCACTTGCACAATGTTCTTTGTACTATCATATTGACTTACCTCATCATCATTGTAAATTCTGTTTACTAAAAACGGAGTCATCAGAGGTGGAACAATGTCCGGATCAGGTTTTTGAAATATAAACGTCGTGAACAGTCCTGCAATTAACAGGTTCAAGTTCAACGGATGAGTTTGTGAAATCATATGAGCCAGTTAATTTGAAATATTATACAATCAAATACAATCAACCACATGAAGAGGGTCACCTAAAACATCATAAGCTTTGGGGAGAAGTCTACCCCTAGAATCGGTGATATTATGGTTGGCATCTTGTAGCATTCCTACAAACTGTGCCCTGTGAGATAGTAAACAAAGGATATAAAGATGACATTAAAGAATAGCTCAGAAGGTTATAACCTATAACAAATGACTGGAAAAGCATTAGCGAAGGAACATGAATAAGCACATTGGGGCACTGGGCAATAGGTTGAGGTAAATGCATACCTATAATCATCATAAAAATCAGTCAAGTTTTGAATCTCGACATAATCAAGGCCAGCCTCTCTGGCCAACCTAAAGAGAAACGAACAGATGTACATTAATGAACTTGCCTTGTCAGTACAAGAGATTAATGTACGTTTTATTCAACAGTCAATGCCTGAGACTTTTTTCTCTTTGTGATTTGTAGAATATAGTAATTTTGAAACATCCAAACACTTTATAAATTTGCACTTAAAGCATGCCAATGTGTCGGTCCATTTTTGAGGTGTGATAATTCTCACCTTTCTTTAGTCTGCTAAGGTGAGAATCCTCCGTTCTTTTTTAGTTGCAACATTTCCATTTTTACGCTTGCCAACGCACAACTTTGACTGTCATTATATTTAATTACTCCCTCCGTCCCAAAATCGTTGGTCAATGTTGACTTGCACGTGGATTAATAAAGTAAAAACTGTGTGGTTGAAATTTGTGCAAAGGAGAGAGAATTAACTTTAACCACATATTCCTTACTTTAAATGGAAATGGCCAACCTTTTTGGAACGGCCAAAAAAGGAAATTTGGCCAACCATTTTGGGACGGAAGGAGTATCTATTAGTAAGAAAAGTATAAAAATAAGATTATGAAAATTTGAAATGAGACAAATTCAATAATATTTTTCAAAAAATAATAATTCACATACATTAATAAATAAAATGTTGTCAAAGTAGAACATGTGAATAGTGTAAAATTATCCATGTAACAACTAAAAGTAACGGAGGATAGTGTAAGTTTTGTAACTTGTACATTTTAAATTCACAATAAACAAATCCAACAATATCAAATTTTAATTTTTCCTTAGGGACAGAAATTGGACAATTTGAATATAGCTTGGAATGTTTCAAATAAATTGATTGATGTTATGGTTGGGAAATGAAAAGGGAGGTAATGACAGGACAAACACATAGGATGTTAGACCAAGCAGAACCTTATCAGGCTTGGGAAATGAACCAGACAGTGTGTTTCAGAAGAGATGTCATTTGCAAACTTCAACTGGTACTTCATTCCAAAAAAAGGAAACCTGCACAACAAATTGCAGTAAGGGCTTGTTTGCAATCACTTAAGAAAAGTGATTTTGGCTTTTTTCTAAGAAAAATGCACTTATTTTACCAAACACTACCAACTTTTACTTTCTCGGCTTCCGTGTAGAATCTACTTTTTACTTTTTCTATTACACAAAAAGCACTTATTTTACCAAACACTACAAACTTTTACTACTAATCACTTTTTCCCAAAAAGTGCTTTTATTTAAGCACAAGTGGTTGCAAACAAAGCCTAAACAAAGTCTACATAAGAAATAGAAAAAAATAAACGTAACGAATCACTAAATTATATACATACTTCTCTTCCTCGACTTCAAAAGCTATTGTGTAACTCTCAGATCTAATGCAATTGGGGACACTGTTAGGCTTCATTCCACTGCCCTTGTGGTGGCAAGCTTCAACGTTCTTCTGGTACTTTGCCCTGAAATTCTTGGATGGTTAAAATCCAAAAAGATTCAGATTCCTGTCAAAGTATAAATAACATAATACTATGTATTTTTTCTTTTCAACAAATGAGTCAGTCTTGACTGGAGCAAGGTCCCGCCTATGCCTCACCAAGGCGCTAGCCCCAAAGCACAGTCAACTGTTGAGCCCGGCAAGCGCTTTCAGATTAATGTTACAGTCATGTCAACCGAATGATCCAAGTAAGATTCTAAAAGAAATGGAATCATAACAATAAGGTCTAGACAATAACATGTGCATACACAATAAACAAGCAATAATAAATCGAATAAGAAGCAATTACAGTTAAATGATGTACCATATAGTAGATGAGTCAGTTGTGATGCCAAGAAAATAACCCCCAGGTTTCAACAAAGATGAAACACTATGCAAAAGCTTCCTCGCTTTTGCTTCAGTTTCAAAACACAACTGCAAACACAGGAGATCTGTCTCGAATTTTCAGAAGATATGAAAATTCATATATCACATTTTCAGAAGACAGTGTGTTGAACCTGAAAATTGTGCATGCAGAAAACAATATCAGCCTGAGTGTCTTTATCCAGAAGATATGTTTTCAAATCTTCCTGCAAAATGGATTTGCTGTCATTAAGCAGAATACAAAGCATACAAAATTAAGGCCCGGTTTGGAAAATGGCTGATCAGCCAATAATTAGCTTCTTTGACCAAAAGTAGCTGATTGAATTGATAAAAACGCCAAAAATACTGTTTGGTTATCAGCTGGTAGGTTTGGATAAATAGCTGATCGATCCCAAGAAGCCGAAAAATGAAACACTGGGGAGAGCAGTGTTTACATTTTAGTGATTAGGGTCATCCTGAAACAATCTCTCTGTACTTTAGTACAGGGGTGAGATTGCGTGAATCCGACCCCCTACCCCACCACAGGTGGCCTTTGCGGCACTGGAGTGATGATGATGATGATGATGCCCTTATAGCCTTTGTTACTCTCTTATTTGTTCTTGTTTAGATTTGATATGATTCTAAGTGATATCCTTCCTGATTTTAGCATTTATTGAACAAATTGTATCAAGTCAAATCAGAAGTTAGTAATTGATTGATGTACATATGATTCTTTCCTTGTACTTTTGAACCTTATAAATAAAGATCAGTTGAGAGTAGTTTCTCTCAAGCAAATTCATTCAAATCAGTAAATTCAAATTGGTATCAGAGCCTCATCCTTATTTGCCCTAGTCGTCCCTGCAACCAATCTTTATCGAGACTGGTCTGCTCGCACTAGGAATAAAAATCTTAGTCATTCCAGATTGTGCCCAAGTCAATGTACGTCATGTCTCCTGCAAGCAGCACGACCCCTGACTCTTCCACGAGTCTTGTGTCCTTTGTCTTCTCTGGGAATCACCAAATAACTTCGGAAAATCTTAACGGCAGAAACTACATGGATTGACAAGTTTATGTTGAAATGTGGTTCTTAGACCAAGGTTTGTCTGAACATTTGACCAAAAGAGCCGATGAGATAAATGCATCTGAAAAGGGAAAAATGGACTCAAGCAGATCATAAGTTGGTTGCTATTTTGTGGCAGTCCATTGATCCACTTCTGCATGTTATGACATTTGGAAGAAAGCTAGAAGTGTCTTCGCGAATGATGTCCAACGGATTTATGACGTTTTTCATAGCTTTGCAACGCTCCAAATGTCCAACCATGACTTTCCATCATATGTGAATAAGGCACAATCCATTGTTGAAGAGGTTAAGGTGATATTGAGCGAAACTGATCTTTCTGAAGTGTTTGATAAAATTGATAAAATGTGTATGATGTTTGTTCTCCATGGACTTCATAGGGATTTTGATTCAGTGCGGAATCAAATCCTAACGAATCCAAACATTCCCACTGCTGAAGACCTTATTGGTCGCCTGTTGCGAGTTTCTACACCAAGTGGAATTGAAAATGTTGGTCCTCACACATATTCAGAGTTCTCTGCTCTTGTATCTCATTCTAGCTATGACAATCATGGTCGTGGTCGTGATAGAGGAGGGTGTGGCAGTGGTGGTCGACCTAAGTGTAGTCATTGTTAGCGCATGGGTCACACCAAAGATAAATGTTATAAAATTAATGGTTGGCCAGACAAATCTACTAATGTAATGTACTCCGAACCAGAATGTTCTGTCAGATGATGAATATAAAGAGCATCTCCAACTTAAGGCAGCTCATCATTCCTCAGCCGCAGTCAACTGTCCTGGTAATTCTACAACATGCCTTTCTCAATCATCACCTCTCAAATTTGGGATCATAGATTCTGGTGCCTCTGACCACATTGCCAATAATCCTTCTCATTTCTCAAAGTTATCTCAACCTAAATCAGCACACCATGTCACCGTTGCTGATGGTTCAAAAGTTAAAGCCATTGACGTTGGAAAAGCCACACGTCATCCTTCTTTATCTCTTAATTTTGTTCTTTTGATCCCTGGTTGTCCTTTCAACTTGGTTTCTGTCAATCAACTTACATGTCGTCTTAATTGTGTTGTCACCTTTATTGATGATTTTTTTCTATACAGGACCGGAGTACAAGACAGATGATTGGAGTAGGATTTGAATCTCAGGGTCTATACTACTTTCAGACTTCCTCTTCAGTTGTTTGCACTGTTGTGGAGTCTCCTTCTTTGTTTCACCAACGTTTAGGTCATCCTAGTCTCAATAAATTGAGGAGTCATCCTAGTTCAATAAATTGAGGGGAATGGTACCTCAAGTTTCCCATTTACAGCCCTTGGCTTGTGAGTCGTGTCAAATTGGTAAACATGTTAGAACATCTTGTTCACTCAGATGTTTGGGGTCCAAGTCGTGTCAGTTCTGTTTTAGGATTTTGGTGCTTTGTTATCTTTGTTGATGAATTTTCAAGATGTACGTGGCTTTATTTAATGAAAGAACGTTCAGAGTTATTTGGCATTTTCAAAAGTTTCTGCAATCAAATAAAAAATCAGTTTGATCATACCATTTGTGTTCTACGTAGTGATAATGTGAAGGAATATTTCTCAACAAATTTCAATGAATATATGGCTACCCAAGGGGTAATTCATCAATCCACATGTCCCCACATGCCTCAGCAAAATGGGATTGCCGAAAGAAAACATCTTCATATCATTGAAACAGCCTGTACACTACTGGTTCATGCCAATGCCCCACTAAATTTCTGGGGAGATGCTGTCCTCACAGTTGTTCATTTGATCAATCGAATGTCATCTTCTACATTGGATAACAAAGTACCGCACTCTATCTTGTTCCCAAAGGGCCCCACTTTTCTTGTTCCCTCCAAAGTCTTTGGTTCTAATTGTTTCGTGCAGGATATTTCCCCTGATCTTAATATATTATCTCCACGAGCAATCAAATGCATATTCTTGGCTACTATAGAGTCCAAAAAGGTTACTGTTGCTATTCACCTTCTACTCACCGTTTCTATACTTCTGCAGATGTCACTTTCTTTGAGGATCAACCATATTTCACTTCATCGGTGGAAGTTAAATCTGTCACAAATATTACCAGAAGATAAGAAACTGGGAAGAACTAAGAACTAGAATTGCTGAAAGAGCTGAGATGTCTTCCTCAGCTGTATATTCACACTTATATAGGCAAGAACTAAATACATTTACAAGGAAACAAATCAGGAGATCCTTGCCATTAATGCAAGATATCCTGCACTAACCTAACAATAACTTCCCAAAATTACATACTTTCAAATAAAGTAATAATAATAATTTAACAGATTCTCTGATTGACATCAAATAAAGTAATACTAATAATTTAACAGATTCTCTGATTGACATCCCCCCTCAAATTGATGCGGGTTGATCAACAAGCATCAATTTGCTTCCGAGGAACTGATGACGCGGACGAGGAAGAGCCTTTGTAAATATATCGGCCACTTGAAGATTCGTGGATACATGGGGCAAGGAAATAACTTGGTATTCAAATGCTTCACGAATAAAGTGACAATCAACTTCAATGTGTTTCATGCGCTCGTGATAAACTGGATTAGCAGTAATGTGAATAGTGCTAGTGTTATCAACATGCAATGGAGTAGGCCCATTAGGTGAAAAGCCAAGTTCAGCTAGTAAACCACGTAACCATATGATTTCTGAGCAAGCAAGTGACATAGCATGATATTCTGACTCGGTAGATGATTTAGAAACTCGGTCCTGTTTCTTGCTTTTCCAGGAAACAAGAGCAGCCCCCACAAACATACACCATCGTGTGGTGGAGCGGCGAGTGTCTGCACAACCAGCCCAATCAGCATCACTATAGGCGGATAGTTCAAGAGAAGGACTGGTTGGAAAATAAAGTCCCATGGTAACAGTGCCATGAATATAACGAATAAAACGTCGAACTGCAGCCATATGGAGATGGCGAGGATTCTGCAGAAATTGACTAACTTGTTGAACTGCAAATGAGAGATCTGGACGAGTAATCGTAAGGTACACTAAACTGCCCACAAGCTTACGATACATTATCGGGTCTGGAAGAAGATCTCCCTCATCTTTTCGAAGTTTAATGTTTAACTCCATTGGAGTATCAACCGGAGATGTGCCACTAAGACCTGCAGAATCAATAAGATCACGGGCATACTTGGATTGATTTAAAAAAATACCAGTGGAACCCACAGTAACCTCGAGTCCTAGAAAATATGAAAGCCCCCCAAGATCCTTCATATGAAAAGAACTATGTAGGTGCTCTTTGAGCATAGAAATAAGGGATTGATCCGTTCTAGTGATAACAATATCATCTACATAGACCAGAAGGACTACAATCCCGTCTGAGGTATGTCGAAGAAACATGGATGTGTCATGCTTACTTGGCTGAAACAAGAACTGTTGAAGTGTGGCACAAAATTTTTCATACCAAGCACAGGGAACCTGTTTCAAGCCATATAAAGAACGGTGTAATTTACAAACCTTTGTGGTGGGACCAGAGAAGACCCTGAGGTGCACCCATAAAGATATCCTCTTTGAGATCACCGTGAAGGAATGTGTTTTTCACATCCATTTGACTTAGAGACCATCCCCGAGAAGCGGCAATGGCCAGAACTGTCCGAATTGTTGTCATTTTTGCTAATGGAGCAAAGGTTTCCTCATAATTTACACCATATTCTTAATGATTGCCGAGTGCCACCAAACGTGCTTTATAACGATCAATGCTGCCATCTGGACGAACTTTGACTGAATACACCCATTTACACCCTAGAGGAATGATATTAGGAGGACATGAGACAACATCCCATGTCTGATTAAGTTCCAATGCTCTTAATTCTTCCTGCATCGCTTCCTGTCAGCACTTATGTTTGGCAGCCTGTGTATAACAAGAAGGAATAACAACAGATGCAATGGTGGCAGCAAGAGCAAGAGAAGAGGATGAGAAGCCATACCGATCCGGTGGTACTGAACGTCGTGTAGAACGACGAAGAGGAATCTCCACATTACTCATATTCTCAAGAGAAAGATCTGGCATATGATCTGATGGCAGGGCAGGAGATTATAAAGAGGCAGGTGGACGACGCCTTTCATACATTATGCCTTTGAATCGGGTGCTGAGAGGAGGAGGATTGGAAACGCTTTCAAATT